CCTTCGAATTCCTTCAAAACAAACTGTATACGGTCTTCGGTGATATACCACGCCACACCAAGGGCACTTTCCAAGCACCCATACTGTATTCCATGCTGTGATCCTGGAGATCTTACTTCTGAAGGTGAGGCTCTCAGGGCACAGTCTTTATTACTGATCCGCTGCATCAAACGGAACCCACCTGAGTTAGTGATAGTCTTCAAGTTGTCAATCAAACCTATGGCTTCTTCCTCAGTGTTCACACTGAAGAAGCAATCGTCAACATAAAGGCACTCGGTAACTAGGTCGATCACATGTTTCGGGAACATTTCTGCATTATTAGCAATGACTTGACGAAGCGCGGGATCCGCACGACTGGGAGAAGACTTGGTGACAAAAGGATGAACGGTCATCCGGTATGAGCTAGGTGAGATAGACATGTACTCGTCGTCCCCCCAGAGGAATCTCAAACAATTACGATCCTCAGGGGTAACCTAGACTTGGTGGGCCATAACCTCAATATCGGAAGTGAAAGCTATCAGATTCATTCTGAAGTGTAATAGGACTCCAACTAAGCTATTCTTTAGATCCGGTCCTGGTATTATTTGCTTATTGAATGATGTTCCTTTGTGGGTGACCTGACAGTCAAATACTACTCGAATCTTACCTCGGATGATACATTGCATGATGTGGGATGTACCAAACCTCGCACTGACTTTCCACATCGTCCTGGGGAATTATTTCAGCAAATCCTTTGACCAGTTATTCCTTCAGCACCACACTGTAGGCCGTTTGAAAGTCTGGGTCTCTTATTAATTTTTTCTTCAGTGAGTCTAATCTCTTCTGTTCTACCTGCCCGTTGTCTTGGAATCTTGTTCTGTCAGTTATCCATGGTAATGCTACTTCGTAAGTGTTTCCCTTTTTATTACACACTTTCGTGTGATGAACAGCAGACGGGGAAAGCCCCATAATCACGAGGACTTGCTATTCAATGATAGAAACCGGTAAACTAAGCCCCAGGACTTGGAGTGGCGAATCACATAAGGCCTTGCTTTCTCAGGGACCTTAGCATCCTAGCCAGGGCGTGTTTATCGCTCAGTGACAGCCAAACAACAGCTGGGAACTTCATTGAATTCTTGGTTAGAAATCCTTTCTAACGTCTGGTGTAGTTCTATCGTGCCTCTGAGTCGTTTATCTTGGTCCGGTGATCATCACGATTTGTGTAACAGCGTGTGGTGAGAAGCCCTACATTGATTCGACCCACAACTCTTACAGGAACGGCATGAGTTGTGGTCGTGGTTTCATTTTAGACAAAGGAGGCATAATCCTTTCCTTCGGCACACTTTCACGCGTCCGTGGGAGCCATATTGACGAAATCTATTGCACTCGTCCAAATAATGGTGTCCACCGCAGCACATTAGGTAAGACCTTTCGGAACCAGATGTAGCAAGAATGTGAGCCGAGGAACCTCGAGGTTTAGAGTTGCCAACTTTATTTACGATGGTCGAAGTCCAGGTCGTTGGCTTCGGTGAGAAGGAGAGAAAGATGTCCACAACGTCGGCTGTCTCCTCGACAAATTCGATGAGATCCGAAAATTGTGGCTCTCGGTTAGCTCTTATGCAACTGGCGGCGTGTTCCGCTCACTTAAATTGAATTTGGATAGGTAGACGTTTCATAAGGGCACCAATGGTCCGAGAAGCATACAGGTCTAATTCATACTTTAATGGCCTCAAGGTGATGTAGCACGTACGGAGCTCCCCAGGTAGTCTCGAAAAGGTTGCAAAATGGTTTGGTCTGATCGCGGGGCTATTCGTGAGGGCATCGATGTGCGTCCCGGGTATCATGTGTGGCCTTCCGAACCGCTTTCGCCAGATGTTTAGAGCTTCGTTAACTCCTCCCTCAGGATCCAGTATTAGGCAGCTTTCGATGGCTCTTTTGACCGATTTTATACCGAAAGTATTCCACAAATCAAAATGCTCTCTCTGCTCCCAGAGGAATAAAGCGATGCAAGCAAGTAAACCGCGAAATATTATAGCCGCTCGGATAGTAGTCGATCTTCTGTGAGGATCGGAAAAAAGGTAATTTTTTGTCTCATTCATTTTACGACAGGAATCTGTCTTTCCTCTACTCAGAATGTACAATAAGAAGAGCGTTGACGAATTGTAATCCCAAGGTGTGATGGTTGGGAACAGTTTTTCAGATAACCGAATACCGTCGAATAGAGAGAGAGAGAGAGTACCGAGAGTGAGTAACGCATTGGTGTCACTGGAGTGAAACACAAACAATCAGGTTGTACCGAATGGGTCTATGAAGCTAGATTCCAGCTATGAATGGTAGATGATAGAGGAGAGTGCGGTAATTGGAGGTGTGTATTGCCGCAAACATGATGAACTCAGCAACGGTGCAAATGGAAGATGTTTGATGAAGGCATGGGAAATGATTTGGTCCGATGGGAAGAGATAACTGGTTTCCTTTGTCCGTATATATTTCACACGGACAAAGTTAGATAGCTACTGCAAAACGGATAGGTTTCAAAAGCAAGCTCTCTATTAAATCAAAATATAATTTGCTGTAGCATTCACATGATACATAAGAGGAAAAGGTATCACATAGAGGATGAGCGTACAACATTTGAATACTTGCCATTTGGGCAGTGTTGGTGAGAATCAGGTCATGTGGTGACATCTGAATTGGTCTTCAGATTAGTGAGTACACTTCGAGTCGGTTTGATAGATTTGTGCGTAAACTGTTCAACTGGAATGAGGTTGCGGCCAACGGTAGAAAAGACCTATCCTCTTTTAAAGTATTAACGATTGTCCATCAAAAATACGCAAACGAACTTGATCTACAAGCTGAATAGCTCTCTATCTGGCATCCCTGTATGACAGATTTGGGGTACAGCGGTATCTCAACAGTTCGGGATGGGGGCATCTGTTGCTGGTCACCTCCAGCGATGAAAAAATTTCTCGGCCCTACTCTTCTGTTCTCGGGTGGCTCAGGTATGGACGCAAAATGGCGCAAGGAGAAATTCATCCGCAGACCGTTAAAAACTAGCCTTACCTGTAACTTTAACAGCAAGCGTATAAATCATAGGAGTGATACACCAGAGAGGTCCGACTCACACAAATAAAAACAACACAGACCCTGCATCAGTGATTTAACTTAGAATAAAACGAGAGCAGCTTGAATGCTATGCACGTTTTGGATTGTCCTGATTTCGCTAATCCATGTGCCTAATTGGATCAGGTTTACTGAGAGTTCTGTGCTCAGTGATGCGATACGGAGATAAAACTCCATTTCGCCTGTTCGCCGAGCTTGGCAATTTGTTTTCAAACATTTCATCA